TTCCTTCTATACATTTTAGCACGTAGCTATTTATTATTAGCATTGTTCTTCCGACGTCTGATTTCTTTTTAATTATAGGAAATGCGTTTTTCTAAGGTACATAAACTTTTGGGATGGACTGTATAGCCAATACATCCTTAACGTAATGCAAAAAAAGGGAAGTTGACAATAGAAATAATGTATCGGCAAGGAATATAAGATTATACATCTCAGTTCGTAGGTAAAATATACGTACTGGTTCGGAAACAGTCTCAGGCGTACACAATAACACGCCTTGGATCACCCTCGAGAAGTCTCGCAAATTGAAAAGATAATGACACTTAGCCGGGGTCGGCAGGAGATGTTTCCTCGTTTCCTTGTAAACGTTAAGCGTGCCCTGCACGATATACTCGATACTGGGGAAGAAGTAGTCTGGGAATTCTTTGGTCGTGAAATGCCAGGACACGATCCTTGTGAAAATGGTAGTTAAAACGTCGTCAGAGAACTCGGAGATCCCCAGTGTGACGAAATGCCGTTTGAATCGCGGCGTAACGTCCAGTCCGCTCGCTGGCGGGCCCATCGCGCAGACCAATTGCACGTCCACTAGCTGTATAGGTGCCATTTCTTTCAAATCGTACCAGCTCCAATGGTCCAGCCACTGTCTCAACAATTCTATGGGTGGTTGCGCACCGAACTCTTCTTTTTGCGGCATGGAAAGATCATCGACGAAGACCACCCAATATTTGCCCGGCGGGGCACCGAACAGTCCTTTTTTCCGTCTGTCCAATTTGTTCATTATAATCTCCTGCGCTTGATTGGCTGTGGTCTGCGCGGAAAATATCACGAACAGAGGTTTGTAGGTCTCCGGGTCGTTCTTCTTTAACAGAAACTCCATTATGTAGACGGATTTCCCGGTGCCCGTCGGGCCGACAAGGAGCACCGGCTTCTGATGGCAGATCAACAATTTGAACAGGTGAAAGTAACGGACAGTTTCAATCGTCGGCACGATTATCTGGTTCACCGGCAGGTCTTTCGGTATCGGAGGAACGTCGTGCAAATCCTCCATCCACGGCCTCCATTTACCTCTGCCCTCTTTCACGTACTTGTAGTCATACACCAAACCTGTCATAGGCATGTTGACCACATACGGTTTCGCCGGGTCCGTCGTCTCCTCTGAAACGTTGAAACGTTCTCTGACGTCCTCGGGAAATTCTCTCTCGGTCAGCGCTCTGAACAGATCGCTGAACCACTCGCGAGAGTCTACGTCCAGCGTGCCGCCCATTGCCCAGATACACGAAAAGAAGAAGCAACCCTGGAATCACCGTCTCTCTTTTCCTGGTTCAGACACATTGTAAAATTAAAGCAAGACGGTACCTCGACTTGTGCTCTCACATCCAAATCCGACAACGTCTGAAGATATTTCTCGTCGTGGAAATCGTCGAGGAAACAATCAAACAAGTACATCACCGATTTAAGTAAATTCGCCTCTGGCATTGTTATCAACACCTAAAAAAGACTAAATTTATTAAAAGCAAATATTCTGAAATTGAGCAACAAACCTTGACTCCCCTTCGAAGGAACTGTAACAGAGGAGGACAAAACCTCATGTACATTTCATGCAAATGATTCTTCAGATGTTCGGAAAAAGTCGACGGCAAGGTATTCACCCAAGAATCTAAAAGTGGCTTCCAGCCCAAACTGACTGGTTCCATATAAATCATTCCGCATCTGGAAACTGTAGCTGGTGATGCGACCTATTAATTAATTAAACGATTTCTCATTACCCGTTTCTGTAATTAACTATAACGTAAAAGAAGATCCACCTCTAGATCCATAGGCTCGAAGATCAAACTAGTGGTAGGCGCTAATTGAATGATCTCTCCCGACATCAAACAGAGTTTTTTATTATCATCCAGCACGGTGTTCATATTCTCAATCCATATAGCGTCGACCGGTCCGTCGAAGACGAGCCATTTTCTATTTAGGTTCGTGGAGGTCGCGAAAGCTCTGTAGCTGACAGCGAGCACGCCGTCGCTCCATTCATGCGAGGCGGGGTCGAACTGTCCGTATAATTGGCCCATGGTGATCGCTTTCGGATTGATGACCGTTATTTCGACTCTGTGCTCATCCATCAAGTTTCGATCCTCGAGCAACCCGAGACACCCGGCCAGCATCCTGTAAGCCGACGTTTTACCGCCGAATGGCAGCCCGACTATCATGAACCCGTGCCTGACGATCATCATTTCGTAGATCTGTTGTATCTTCTCTAAGAAGAAGTCGGTTAACTGGAGATTCGCCGCGTCGCAGGCGTCCTTCGTGCACGCGTTTAAATGCGTGTAATCTGGGGCGGGTAACACGACACCAGGGAACAAGTCCGAAGCGATACCCTCGAACAAGGGAAGATCATGGACCAGGAATTTTGGTAGGTTCACGTCGAGTATACTCCGCAGCATCAAAATATCTTCGGATTCTTCCGGGTACCTGAGCTTCAAATTCCCAGCCGCGATCAACACCGATTTCACCGCTCTCATACCGTAGTCGTAATGATGTTGGCTGCTCAATTGTTCCGAGCAAAGCCTGTAAGCAGTGACGATCTTTACGGCCAAGGGTCGACCATTATAGAACCCGTAAGAGTAGAGCGTGTTCTCGGCGATCAGTGCGTAGTCGGGCACCATCATGGCTACAGGACGGAACAACGCTTTCAAGTTGTCAGGCAATTCTGATCTTCCAGCGTAACCAGGATTCATCGTGATGAAGATGGCGCAGGTCGGATCCAAGAAAATTTCCGTCCCCTCGAAGACCATCTTCTCCGCGCCGCTATTGATCCCCCGCTGAATCGTTAGAATTTGTTGCGCGACCACCGACAAAACTTCCAGATCGATCCGATTGAACTCGTCGAAGCAGGACCACGCGCCGCAGGAAGCCAGCCCTTTGAAGAATTTCCCTAAAGCGAGATAGTCCAGGCCCTCGGAGCAGTTGAAGACGACGCACTGTTTGGCCACCGCCTTCGCGAGGTCCTTCGTCGTTTCCGTTTTCCCAGTTCCGGCCGGACCCTCCGGTGCACCGCCCAGATGAAGACTCAGAGCACCGAACAGAGTCCTGTAGCATCGATCAGTCAACGGAGTGATCACCAATCGCGATGAATTGCCGAGATACTCGTAGCCGTAACGCTGCTGCGAGTTTATCATGTACGCCCACATATTATCCTCCAGCCAGTAATACCGCAAATGACACAACCATTTGAAGTCAGTATTTTTTATCACGTTATCCTCGTACAGATGTTCCAACACGTCTTTCCCGTGGACGTCCAACGTGACTAGAGCTTCTACGATCATAAATATTCATACGAACCAATGATACTGCGTGTTACAAGATTTTAAATTTGCATCGCAAACATTTGATAATTACCCAAGGTGATACGATTTTGTTTCGATAATTTACTACGGATCAGAGATATGATATCGTTCAGCTCCTCGTGACATTGATCCACGTATCTCTTCAATCCCGGTGCGCCCGAGAGCATCGATTCTTCGATACGTAGAGTCCAATACGTCTTACCAACGCAGAGGATCGTTTGACCAGGCCACTCCAATACCCAAACTCTCCTCGGTTGCGTCGGATACGCCATTATCGCTCCGTGCACCTCGTTCCGTATACTATTTCTCATGACCGTTTCTAACTCGATCAACCATTTTTCCACTTGTCCTCTAGCAGCAGCCGTGGATATCACCTCTATCAGGTTGACCTCCTCACCCTCCGTCGACTTCATCGCGAGTACCTCCAGGTCTTCGTTAAATCTCAACGAGTGTATGCCTTCGAAGCATTTCTTCAAATGCGGCTGAACGCTACAATTTTTATTCTATTATGTATGCACCGTGTCCTGTCTTTTATAATAAATTAAAAATATTCCCCCTATTACCGAGTCGGGTCTTTAGTTTCCGAGAGGATTTCTAGAAGTTCATCATTGGAAAGGAAGAAGAACCGTGGGAAGAAGAGACGTTTCTTCTCGAGGTAGTCGTTCAAACCCTTTTGAATGTCCTCTAGCAGACCGTAGCTCTTTCTCAGCCTCTCCAGCATCTTATCGATCTCGACGACCGCGAAAACGAGAGGATCAGCTTGAACCGTCTTCATAATGTCGCGCCAAGTTTTGTCCACTGCAGAAAATTTCCTACCCTCCTCTGGCATTTGTTGCTGGATGTCTGGCGACGTGAATATTGGCTCCAAGTACATCCAGACCGCCTGGACCCGCAGCCACTGGTCCAGGATGTCTTGCAACAGATGCAGCTTGTACTCCCATTTCCTGCGTTGTACCATGAAATTATTAACGTGTATACGTGTGTTCGTACGTGTGAGTAACACTCGCTTACAGTATTCTTTCTTCGAACGGCTTTATGTTCGGCGAATTCTTTATAGTGACCGTTCTAACGATGTGATCATCCAATAGAAGTTGTATATCGTCGACACCAGCAATGACGTAAGTACCAGTATCCTTGAAAGGGTTTACCGTGAACTGTAGGCCTGTCCAGTCCTTCTCCATCTTATTCATAGCTCTTTCCAAGGTCATCTCCTTTGAGGCATTGTCGGAGACGCTCTCGAACTTCGAGACGAACGGATCCAGTTTCATGTCCAGAATCTTTTGCAAGGTCAAGTCAGGATCGACTTTTATCGGGATGTTTATGATCGCCGAAATTTGCTCCCAATGTCGATCCTTTAATCCTGGATTGCCGAGCGTTTGGATGATCGGCATTCGATCTCTAAAATCCTCGATTATCTCGCGCACAATGCCTGCCAATTCCTTCAGGTCCGGTTCTTGGAAACTCTTCTCCAATTTGTAAATCGTCCTGCGAACACGTCGTTATTGTTCTTATAGTTAATAAAAAAAAGTCTGACAAATATTCCATCAGAAGCTGTCTTAATTGAAAGGATTATAATAAATCATATAATTGTACCCATGTAATAAATCAAATAATAACGATCATATAATAAATAATTAAATTGTACATACCTGAATCCGTATCCTACGTCGTTTTCAATGTCCTCGGGATTGTAGCTACCAATCATCGAGTTCAACCACTTGTCGCGTTTCGTTAGGAAATCGCAAATCGAATCGAACAGTTGCTTGGAGGGTTTCAGTTGATCAGCGATCTGCTTACGACGCGGATACTGCGTGAGATCCCAACCGAATGCAGCCTCCTCTTCATTAAATTTATCGATTTTCTCCATAGCGGCGATCAACCGATTCTCCAACTGCTGGGCTCGCTTCTGATATTTGTATACCTCCGCGATGTCTCCCCAATATTGAATCTCTTCTACTTGGTTCGCGTAAGACTCCAGTTCTTCCTCAAACCTGATATACCTGGCTGTAGAAACGATAGAGAATTTTTAATCCTTATTTCCTCGCATCTTCCTTCATATAATGATGATAGTTATGTAATATGTACTTCTCAGTCCTTGTTGGAATTCCAATGTCTTTTGTCCAACGATGCTTTCGTTTTGCTCCAATATTTCGGGCACTTTATGGAACCACTGGAACGCCTGGTTGGTATTATCTATCTCCGAATCCGTGAGAAAATAATAGTCGATCAAAACCAGTATGTGCTCGATTATTTCGTAAAGATTTTGCTCGAGCTTCTTCAGAGTAACTTCTATGGTCGATCTAACGAAGCTTTTAAGGTCCATCAGTTCGGCCGTGTTCGCCGGTACGTTCAGAGCACGATCGGATATAGCTCGATACTCGTCTGCAACGCTGCACCGTATCTCCGTTATCAATCGTACGACCGTGGAACCGTGAATAAATTCGCCGATAAAGGCATCGACGAGGACGAGTGCGAGGCAGCCAGGCTTACCTTTTGGCAATGCTTTGGTACCTCTCGACCAGCGTGTCTGTCAAAAGACATTTTATATGATAGACGTTATCGACGACCGCGTCGACGAAACGCTTCCGTGACACTTTAAACATTCCGGTGAAAGCTGTTTCTTCGATTTCGATAGGAAAGTGCAACAAGAGATCGTGATAATGCTTTATCATTTCGTTGTACTCCTCCAAAGTTTTCGACTCGTCTTTTACAAATCGTCGAACTTTTTCGAACTCGAGATCGCCGTACAAATATTCGTGTCTGTACAAGGCAACGATTTCAAAAAAATATACATGTACGTTCGTAAAAATCAATAACAATGATAATTACATGTGCAAGTCTGCTAATATCTGCTCTGGAATCAATTTTTCTCGGTCAATCAAATCAATAATTTCCTGCTCCAGCTGTTTCACTGTAGGCTCCTCTATATGCGGCTAAACGGAAAAGAACTCTAAATAGATGCAATCGACTAGTGAATTTTTATTTGTACAAACAATATTTCAGGCACACGCGATTAGTTGTAAGAATTTTTTTACCTTTAAAATGCGTTCGGGACCAGACCAATCTAGATAAAGCTGAGTCTCCAGCATGTCAAAATGTTTAACTGCTTCGCATATCTCGTGAAGGATACTGGCAAGAACTTCTTTAAATTTTTCAAACGATGGATCAAAGATGAGCTCGTTCGAGCTTACTACGACGTCCACGTTAAATTCGCAATTAATCGGCTGCAACCAGCAAGCGATTAACCCTTTCGTTCCATTTCGCGGATTAAGTTGCATTATAATATAATTTACCTTTCCCCGAATAATTAAATTCATAAAATCCTTCAAAGTAGTCTTGCACATAAACAGCAGCTGCGTCTCCATTATTTTGCCTAGACATTCGTAGAATCGTTTAAATTGCACGCGCTGCTCAGGACTCGGGACTAATCCCTTTCTATTGTTCTACAAAACGATAAATTATTACGCGTTAAACGGCGTTAAAGAACGATCTACGTACATAGATAAATGTACAATATATAAACTGATCGCGATAATTGAAATTTTACCACGAGAAATATATCCTGTATACCAGCGTACCAACGCGTCTTCAAAACGTGCCTCGCCTTGAAAATCTGTTTGTACATCGTTTTATAAAACTCCATTAAATCCCAGCTGTTGTTGAATTCCATAATTGCCTTCACGTCGATCAGTCGGAAATCACTGAGAAGAGATTCATTCATTCTTTCGTTGCTCGAAGCGAGAGCCATACCGCGCGTTCAATAATTTCCTACCCGAATTGGCTGGTCCAAAGTTCTAAGGTCATCCTCATGCACGGGTTTATTAGATGCAAAGCGTCCCGCAGATATTCGCGATTCTTTTTAATCAAAACTGATAAACCGGGCAGGCTGGCTTTTATCGTAATTACGATCATGGTAGCTCTTTCAGGCTATAAATCGTATTAAATTTCTTATTAAAAAATATTGTGCGTTACAACATACAGTACGATATAATAATATAAGAATTTGTGAAATGTTTAGTATAACACCTCGAGTGAAGAGATATCTGTACAATCTTGAAGCGCATATGCCAGAATCGCTTTTTTAATATTCGTCGTGAACGTTTCTCGGATCTCTATCAGTAAACTCTCGGTGTGATAAGTGAATCGATCCCTTAAACCGTACGGCACCAAGTTTAATATCATTTCCACAACATTCTCTGGCATCTGCACCGTGTGGACGGTGTCAACCCCATTGCAAATGTAATTGTAATATCGGTTCACATCTTGATCATTGGCCAAATCTAAATTTACCTCCGGTAGCTCGGTTTTAACAATTAAACTGGTTATAAATCTATAAAAATCATCATTTCCTCTCAAGCAATCCGATTTAATTTCCGAACAATTCGCGACTGTTTGCTGACCTACGGAAATCTTCCCTTTTTAATCGCTTTTTCGTATACGTTTCTTCTTGCCTCCAACGTTCTCTTACGTCATCTTTTCTTTTGCATTTAACACAGTCCATTAATTCGTCCGGCAAAGAAAACAGAGGCTCAATTTTTGTCTCGATCACTTTTGAAATTTTTTCGCGCTGCTTTTGGATCACCGCCGGGCGAATACCCTCGCAGGGCTTTTTCTCCTCTTCGCAGTCGCATTCCATATCCGTTTCCATATCCATATTTAAATCAACTACGTACATTCATGTTTAAATGCGTAGGCAATTAGACCTAAATATTTATTTATATAAGCGCCTATTCTCTATTTTTATGTCCGATATGTCGAGGGGTGAGAATATAGGGACGATGTATTTTAAAAAAGCTTAAAATATGTCTGGAAGCGGAGTCCTACGATATTGAAATAGGCATCGAGAAATAAGGATAATTAAAACCAAACACTTAGCTTGATGAAATTCATCTATTTTTCTTTTTATTACAATTAGGTTTAAATTTGCATAACATAAATAATAAGTAGGTATGCGTACTTACCTTCTGTGGTCTTCGGATTTTGTACATACCTACGTTAACAGATAGTGCCACCTTTGGCCTCAATTGCGATAGTGTCAAATATATATACGTGTATGATACACATACATCGTACTTTTTAAATCACCTCAACACTGCACGGTAAGTACGTGTAGTTGAAATAATGTTTTTTTCGAGGTTTAATAAATTAAAAATGATACAGTCGTCGTGCGACTAAAAAATTACACAAGGTTTACAAGACTTTTCCTTATACTTTACGTAGTCTAGCTAGATAAGTAAGTACGTTACGAAGGAAGCAACACTCGCGAGTATATAATTTACTGTAGTTTCTAGGCAACGAAATTGATCGGTTTCTACGAGATTCATATAAATTTCGCACACAAAATACCGTATTTAAACTTATGTTCCGCTTTTCGAATTATATTTAATTAAGACGGGTATAAGTTAGACTAAAGTTGATACGTTTTCAGGTTAGACCTGCATAACATTATCTTAAGACCTAACGTTTTAACCCTTTTTAAATGAGGATCAGGTCACACAGGAGGCATATCATGTGTTTCAGATGATTTCACGTCAATTTCTTCGTTCGATACATACAAATTATGTACTTGGGTCCAAGAAGACATTATTGAGCAAATTACGCAAGAAAACTGGGTACACATTCGTAAACTGTAAAAAGGCATTAGAAATAAATGACAACGATGTAGAAAAAGTAAGGCATTTATTAATCTCTCATTCATATAATGGGTTTGTTAATCTTAGTTAATTGTCATAGGCTGAAGTATGGCTAAAGGAACAGGCCCAGACTCAAGGATGGACCCAAGCTGTAAAACTGCAATCCAGGGTGACTACTCAAGGATTAGTAGCAATGATCACGAACAACAGTCACGGAGCACTTGTGGAAATTAATTGCGAAACAGACTTCGTCGCGAGGAATAAGAAATTTCACGATCTAGCAGAGATTATACTTTCCGCTGTATTAAAACACGGGATGACGATGAAACAAAGTTCGTTGGTCAACAGAACGTTATTATACGCAGAATCTATTAATGAATTACATGCCACTGACGGCAAAAGTCTAGGCGATCACTCTGCCTTAACTATTGGAACTGTAGGAGAAAATATTAATATAAGGCGTGCGCTGTGTATGAGCGTGCAACCAGGTGTACATTTATACGGTTGTACTCATCCAACACCCGTAAATCCAGTTCCGTCGTCTTTTGGACGGTACGGAGCTCTGGTGGCTTTAAAATCTGAGGAAAGGAAAGATGTTTTAGGCATGCAGCTCTGTCAACACGTTATTGGTAGTTAATCGTTTAGTTTGTTAATACAATTTTTTATGACGTATCTATAAAATGGTATTTGCATTTGCGTTTAATGTTTAGGCATGAATCCAGTCAAGGTCGGTGATCCAAAGGTTGACGAACCTAACGATAATACAGACGATGAAGCTGTGATGCTGTATCAAGAGTTTCTCCTCGATCCTTCTATGTCTGTGCAACAATTATTGCAAAGTGAACAAGCCGAAATTTTGGATTTCGTACGGTTCGAAATGGGTGAGACCCTTGAAAACAGACAGACGTTGGACTCTGTAGAAACTTGCGGTTAAGATATATCTCATATTCGTTCGCTATAGGCGCCTGTATTCACCGCAAATGAGTTTTGAGAAAGCATGAGTATTTCGGAAGAAAAAAACGTCATATTTCCATAACAAAATGTCGATTGTACAGATGCGTAACTTGCTTTATTGTCCGATGCAAGTAAAATACCGGATTTTATTGCATTTTTTTCATTATGCACAAATTATTGTAACAAAGTTGAAAATTAATTATGTAAATTATATGATATGAAAACTAAATTTTAGAAATTAGGGAATGTTCTTATTCTCATAGACTCCTCGAAAAATAAACTCGATTTAAAATACGGATAAAATAGCTAATAAGCTAGTACTTTACATTTAAATTTGTAAAATATTATACTCGATAATATGAGCAGACAGGCGGCATTATTAATATTCCTATTATTTCTCGTCCTCCTGTTCGTTATTTACGACTGGTAAATTGCTAGACGATTTGACTTTATTCCGTTTTCGCATGAGTTTCACAGATTTCCAGAGCCACATGCGCGAATCTTTTTTCCAGTAGCGAGCAATATCATCCGGCGAGTGCACAACGCCCTAAAAGATTCAATCTTATCGCTACTACTCGAAACACGTTAAATGTAGGCAAACATCAATGAATCTAAAAGTCGTACTTGAAAATTCAACGCATCGGAATGCTTAACAGTGTTTCTATAAGGCAACATGTCTCTAGCATTTAATGAGTATAATTCTTGATCTTGGAAATCATCAAACGGCTCGGTTTGCACGTCGCTAGTTCGACGAAGCGGTATCATCGCGGTTTCGTTCCTAGATTCAATTTCTGCCTCCAGCTCCAAACGCTCGAGGGTCGACGTGAAGCTTCTTGACTCTTTACAATTTCCGAAGTTCGCCTTGTTTTAAATGTTTTCGTTCAGTTCATCATAAGCCGTAGCGCTTTAAAAATGTAAGACTACTCTGACGGCGAACAAACTGTTTAAACCTGTACTCCCTGAGAGCAAACATTGCATCCGAGCGCTCCCACCGACAGACATAAGTCGCTCATAGTTTTGGACAATAAATTCTTGTCGTCCGATGCAAAATTTTCAACTGCTCATAAAAGAAAAACCGCTGGTTAACACTGATCGTACACAACGGAACGGGCCGTCATCGTACGGACACCAGGAGCCGACGAAGCAACACAAACCGCTTGACTGATCGCAGTCGTCATTTCTCCAGTCCATCGACTTCTTCCCGCGCCATGTACATAAAATAAGCTTCTAAAATGTCTGCCCTGTCGTTAAAATCTTCTAACGTATGCCGATTCCATTTCTGCTCGGGCATGTAGAAACAACGTTCTCCAACATTGTATAATAAATGAGCAGCACGGTTGTTCAGGCGTCTTTATTATTTGGGAATGTATGTCAGGTGGCGTTAAATCGGGAAGAATAATACCTACCTACATATCACACGAGTGACGCTGATGATACATATGTATAATTAAATTGTGTCTAAAGATCAGGACCGCATATTCCGTTCTAATTGTAACTTCGAATTTAATACCTGCGCAATGCACATTTGCATGACGTCTAAGCCACGCCATCTGCGCGGAACAAGTATTGTCAAACGTATGCAGCACATACATGCATTACGGAAAGTGTTAATGGATTAAACGCGAAAGAAGGACGTCACATTATAATGTGTTACGATAAGAATTAAACGTTGCGGGTGTTATGTGGGGATTCAGATAAAAAACAAGGAAACGTAACATATCAGACCGTTCAGTTGTGTCTGCTAAAATTGTCTTGGGTCAGGCGAATGTGAGGAGTGAAGAGATCCTTAAGGGGTAGTCGGGTACGTAAATAAAATTTGGAAAATGAGCTCCAGCGAGTACAAGGGTTGCGAGAATGAGGACGTCGAAAATTCGGATGAAAGTGAAAGACCATCGGGCGAAAGATGGGCACCCGTTGGCGCGAACGACGGCGACGATTTCGCCGATGAATATAAGTACGTCGATAACATGGAAAAGTGAGTAGGAGTCAGCACTCACCGAAAATCCTCATTTACTCAATACATATACCTGAACTTATCTTGTATTGTTTGCACGTTATATTAGCTTGTCCTGCGACATGGAAAGACTAAAGGTTCTTGAAGAAGAACAAGAGATGCTTAATTCATCTCTCATAGCACTGACTACTCATTTTGCACAGGTATTGAATAAATTGAAGAAACACAATATTTCTAAACAACAAATTTTGTTAATATTTCTAATTGGGGTGATCTTAGGTTCAATTTCGCTTAAGACAAATCGTGGATGCACCGGCAAATGAGAAAGAAACATTGCTCAAAGAGTTAGAGGAGTTTGCTTTTAGAGGGATACCAGATGTTCCACATAATTTATCAATTGATAGTAGATCAATTACACCAACTTCTCCAATGTCTGGCGACCAGATATCTAGAGTAATGAGTGATGTTGATGTTGAGTCTAAAATGGCATTGCAAAGAACGAAACAGAAAGAACTGATATGCCAATTGAAGTCTCAACTGGAGGACCTAGAGAAATATGCTTACGAAACTGGTGATGCAGATTTACCACAGAGTATGATATTAGAGAGGCAGAATATAATAATCAGTAAGTCATCAAAGATAAGCCTTTCTTTCCTTAGGCCTTACACCGATCATCATTATATATAATTTTCAGATCACCTTAAAGAAAAGTTGAATTTTAATGTTGATGATCTATGTAAATTACCAGTCGATGATTTAAGATGGCAAGTAGATTATGCTATAAGTCAGGTAAATCATTTCATAACTAACAGCATAGTTTATTAAAGAGCTGATCACGAAGCAGATGTAAGAGAAAAAAGAAAGTATACGTGAACAAATAAAAAATCATTTACAGATCGTTAGTCCCTTGAAGATGAAAGAGCAGCTAGTATCGCAATTGAAAACACAGATCGCGGATCTGGAGCGTTTCATAAATTATCTTCAAGGAGAAGTCAGTGCGGAAACCTTGGCGTGTACGTGTGCGTGTCCGGTGCACACCAGCGGCACGGCCGGCTCTACTTCTTTCGCCAAAAAATCTTGCAACGTGAACACCGAGGAGGAAAACAAAACGAGGACTTTGAACACCGTTAAGAAAGTTGTCGCCTTATTGCATATGTTCCTGGTATCCCAATTAGGATGCGGTAGCGAACGGGTTCGAAGAAACTTCAAGAAAAATTCTATGTACAACTGGCGCGATCTGAGAACGAGACTGGATATCGCGATTGAGCATGTTGTAGAGACGATCGCGGAAATCGAGCGTCAACCGGACGACGAAGATTTAAACGACGATTACTCGGACTCAGATTCTATGTCGCAATGCAATGCCAGGGTGACTACCGCTGTAAGGAAGCATCTAGCAACCTCCATACGTGACTTAATACAACACGGTTTAATGTCTGACGCGCGTTCCAATAGCGTGGTACCGTTCGTCGGATGTTTTCCACAGAGAAACTCTTCCGCTTCCAACGTGATGCACGCGTGGGAGCTGGTGCTCAAGTATTATGAAATTAAGAATGGCCATCGTTACAATTCTAGTCCGGCGCAGAAATTATCTCAAAGTTTTAATCTCGATTTAGCAGGCGGTAGAGGTGCTTCCTCGAAACAGGTACCCATTGTATATACAAATTTAATATTTCTTTCGTTTCACGATTGAACTTATTTCTCATGGGTACCATAATTTTTAGAGTCTGTTAACCACCATTGGGAATATCATCGCCTCTCACAGTCCGTACAAAAGAAGCTACGATTCTCATTTCAAAGCATTCGTATGCGCAGCCTTAAAGTGAGTAAAACTGTACGAATCTTTGCGCGCCGATAAGAATTTCTAATTTATCTTATTCTTTTTATTACAGTGCAAGCAAACTTGTCATTTGGTTGAAGCTCATCTTGCAGTGTCAGTATTTGCTGGAGAATCACTATACATCGTGGAGTTATGTCGTAAAAACAGGTGGGTAATCAATGTATAAACCATTATCCGCGGTGCAATTTTATAACGAAAATAATTATCACGAGCAGGTTTCCAAGATGCATTTCATACCCTAGACCGCCTCACCCGCTACAGATTCGATCTACCAGTAGATTTGGCAGTCAGACAGTTCCAAAATATAAAAGACGCATTTTGATCGCGATGTACGACGGTGATAACACTTACCAGAATAAGTAGATAGTCATTTTTAGCGAGCAAAACATGAGGTATCGAATGTTGCGATTACGTGAGAAGAAAAAAGACAGCATATTTTAACTTTACATCGACGTTAGTAGTATATCATTTTTTATCGATTTTATTCCGCGAAGAACATTCCTCCTCATTTTCTGAGTTCATTAATAGGAAAAAATTAAGATATAATAACGTGCTTACAATGATTAAAAGTATCGGTTCCTAATCTGAATCATACGGTTTTAATTTCTCGATTATTCTAATTTGAAGAGTATCAACTACCTAGTAGTAAAAATGCGAACACGATCCTACGATATACATATTTAAAGTACAGGTAAACAATACAACGCTGCCTGACACAATATGGACTGAAACATATGTATCACCTAGTTATTTTGAAACGTATTTTCGAACGTCGTGCGTTCTCGAGAAAATGAAGATAATTCGAGGTAGTAGAATTTTCACTCGAAAAGTAATTTGATAAATTGAGGTAATGTTGAAGAACGCGATCTTCGCTGTGATTAAAGCTAAGATTTTAATACTGCACTTTGTCCATAAGGATGAAGAGGTGTTAGGATTTAAATACTTATCGAAAACCAAAGAACAAGCCAAAGTTGTTTTTAGTAGTTCGTAATCGAACTAAGCGTATTTGCTATAGTTTTTAATTTTAGTACTTACACACGTCGCGGTCGATAGTACTACACTATGATTTCGTGGTAACATATCATTGAAGCAGTAATTAAATCTAAATAAGGATATATCAATGTACGCGTGTATAAACTTCGATGTTGCAATACATTGTCAAATATTTTATCTCTGTTGCGTTCTACAGATTTTTACGGTTGATTTGTGTAGTGTAAATGTTTAATTGTTTCCGATCGATGATCCGTTGTATATCTAATTGAAAATACTGACAGACTCTTCTTTATACGTGACTGTTTAAGAGAGATATATAGACCTCGAAATATGCATAATTATTAAAGACACCCGTATTAATTTCAAGTATATAATTAGCAATTTACGTACACGCGACCACTATTACCTGTACAAGGTATATCACGTGTAAAGTAGATTTAAGAACGTCAACTGTATAATACGATATAAATATGTGCTTTTTATATGCATAATAATGATTTGACATTAGTTAGTTGAAAGAGAATAATGCGAAAATATATTTATGAAGCAATGTATCTGGGCTTTGGAATTCATCGCTCCCTCCGCGCCGGTATCCGCGTCAATAAAACGGAAACAAGTTGCAGAATATATGAAATTGGTTGTTTATTCCTTGTAAAAGTTGTACATCAGTAAAAGTTTCATAGCAGTATTTTTTTTTTTTGTCAACATGATCGTAGTATCTCACTGATAATTCCTCGATATTCGCAGTAATAAGGTACGCAATCTTTATTTAGTTTCTTTAGCTGATCGTTTATAGTGAAATGAAACGGAACTCTCAATTAGTCTCTTTTTCTCTGCGCATTTACTAACTCCTTCTAAACGTTTAAAATAGACTATCGAGGAATCTCGATGTTCTTACAGATATTAGATTAGTTTGTTGTACATAAAATTCAGAAATAGAGATCTACCATCGTCAATAACACATCTGAACTCAACGAAGTGTGTACCTACATAATACCAAAAGTTTTTTCCTTGGTCACAGACACGTGCTTATCGTGCGCGTATCAAATCGCATTATCATATCACGTACAGCTCTACTACTTACACAGGATACAAATACACAGACGTAAGAGCACAGACTTAGTAGAGTTCCCTCTTTGTTTCTCTTTTTCTTTTCACGATATAAAAATTCGTGTGTATAAAAAGATTCGTGGAAGAGCACCGTATTAGATCTAGTAATTTGTCATCTGTTAATGCTCAACCAAAAATGATAGCCGAGGCAATTAGGTCCGCTTTTGAAACCGAAACATGATCAATCACATTCACTACTTACTTATAGGCTTCTATGTACGTAAGCGTAGGAAATACAACATCCATAAACGAACATTTTGTAACATATACATGGGTACAAATTGCTGTAAAAATACTGACGAGTGAGACATTTACTGGAATGCAGCGACGGGGTAGCGACGAGTGTGATAATATTCGTTGACACAGAGATTAAACTATATCACAAAAAATCGGTGCAAAATTAAAGTGCGAAAGGATTCGTACTAAATTCTGCTCAATTCGTGAAAAATTCCATTCGATAATCGTACGTATGTAGAATAAATCAAGTATTCGAATGAATAATCATCTATGTTACAAGTAAAACATTCATGTGAATATCATTCACGGTACAATAATGATTTACTTCCAAACCTTATGTATAACAGCTGCACAGTATACACTCACTTAATGTATTTCCTTCCTCTTTACCGTAACATCCGTCATAATAGCTTTTTAGGGGTATTATTCTTCGTACATTAAATAGGCTATGCTTTTTGGTACAGCAACGATTCTAACATCTAACAATTATAAGGACAGTTTACACATAACGTTGCTAAATATAAACCCATTTTTTTTTTATAGCCAAATCGTTCACAGTTATATATATATAAAGTATTATCTGTCTTAGACTCCAGTAAAACATCGTTATTCTTTTTTTGCTTTATATATATATATTTATATTTATGTATGTAGGAAAGTTAGTCCGCTTTTCTGTTAGCATAATCGAATGCCTCTTAAAGTATTTCGGTTCTAAAGGTAAAGAAACATCGGAGATGCATTTTCTAGTACATGCAATTACACGTACGTATAAATACGGTTCATGATCAGGTCAACTAGTACAACTAAATATTCTTATTCATAAAAGAAGTATCAAAAAGTTGGATAAAAGATGAGACGGAAGTGCTCGTCGCACTCATAGTCAATGTAAAAATTACGTGAGCTACAAAATGCGTTGTCAGTCTTTAAATTTCTATTAATAGATACGTATATAACAAGTATAAAAAATTCGTAAATATCGGAACGACGAACGGTACAAAAGATTCATTACTTTCTCCGATCAAAATTAATCAAGATTCTTTCCGCACAGCGTTAAATAAATATTTGTAAGTATCTCTCGTTGTCGTGTAAGAACATTTCATTCCAATTGTAGTTAATATTAATAGCAACACACCAAATTAATCTACTATTTCCGTTGCACATGAAGGAATTCTCCTTCATTACTTATGTAATAAGCATTTTTATCATTACGATACTACCACTGACGCCTTTGTATCGTTAGGTTTCATTCATCATTTGAATGGATTTCTAATCTTTTAGTGGCAGTTAATTATTGTATTGTGATAAAATTCGTTGATACTGCACATAATCTTACGAGACTGAATGCAAATGTAAAATCAAGATTCCATTGCACGCGCGGTATATATGTGCTCATTTACTTAATCTTAACGTGAATCTAAATAAATTATTAATAAATAGATATAGACGACGGTTTCGGCACTCATAAACCATGATTGAGATTCAATTTTACATAAACGCGCAAACGTAATATTAATCGCTAATACGTGTCACCATATTTCTTTTATAAATATTTCGTTCGATCCGCTCGATAAGGCTACATAACAAACATAACAAAGGCAGTTGCATGTAACATGTATAATTTACTTACGTTGTCGTTTGCGTAAATATCACTTACTTGATCGCGTAATTGAATGAATTCCCCCTACGGACAAATCACTATCGAGCTTCACACGTGAATACGCAACGGTACGCTATCCGACTTGTTCTCTGCTTCTAGATTGTATTTTATAGTGTCCAGGGTATTGTAAATTGTTCTGAAGGTAGGTCTGTCCGATGGTCTCCTGTTCCAACAGAGCTTCATCAGATCGTATATCGCCGGTGGCGTATTCTCCGGGCACTGAAGCACGTTGCCTTCCTTAATATACTTTACAACTTCTTCGTGCGTCATCCCATAATAAGGTTGAAGCGCGAAGCTGAATATCTCCCATAAGCAAACCGCGAACGCCCATACATCGGACTCTACGGTATACTTGTTGTACAATATACTCTCAAGAGGCATCCATCTGACCGGGATCGCGTCTTGTTCGTCGCCTTTGTAATAGTCCTGCAGGTAGATCTTCTGCGACAATCCGAAGTCCGCTATCTTCACAATCATTTGATCGTTGATCAAACAGTTTCTCGTCGCGAGATCTCGATGAACGAATTTTCTATCGGACAAGTATACCATCCCGGACGCTACTTGGAGCGCGATGTTGATCAAGTCCATGTGCGACAAGCGGGAATCCGTGAAATGCTCGTCCTTACCCACGCTTCGGATAATGTAATTTCCCGGCGAGCAGGAGCGTAGAAATTCGTTCAGATCACCGCGACCCATGTACTCGAAGAGGAGGCACATCGGCCGACCTAAAGCACATACGCCTAACAATTTTACGATGTTCGGATGATCGAACTCGGCCAGGAGGCACGCTTCGCGTTCAAAGTCCTTCAGTAGATCATCCGAAGCTTCCTCTTTTAACATTTTCACAGCGACGTTGGTGAATTCTTCGCCCGGTACGAGCCCAGGCGCCTTTGCCTGGAATACTCTGCCAAACGCGCCCTGACCCAAGTCTCGAACGTAGATAATGTTATTTCTCGGGAACTCGAGTTTCTCTAGTTTCGGATTAAGCTGCGCGCTCGTTTTATGGTATGCGTCGTTGCTCGGCAATTTATCCAAATCGATACTGACGTACTACAAATTATATTGGAAATAAGTATCATCACTTTAAGTGTAAGCGAGGCATATATGAAGATCAGGCTCAGTAATCGTTGTCTGATCAATACATTCCCATATAAAATTATTAATTACTTTAAAATACCTGGTTGTCTGTGGGATTGTACCCTTGGTGTCTCTTGTGAAGCCTGTGACTCAGAATAATGGATAACACAGTCCCAGCTATGATTATAAATCCTAGTGAGGATAGTATCAGTATAAATGTTGGCGTAAACAGCGTATCCATTGCTAAGTTATTTGCATCTATCTCCAGAACTTTACTCGTTACGTTATCTATAAAACAAAATAACAATTGTACAATTATCTGTATTTTACACAAGAAATGTGACGCGTACCGCATATAGGAATATCACAATGTTGCCATCGTGTGTTAGGATCCATTGTAAAACACCATGGCATTGGTTCGTCTCCGCCCGCGTTTCTACAATAATTTTCTCCATTACGAATTTGAGGGAAGACATCCGGTGGTCTGTCATGACTGTGAGGCATTTGCGCATTCCATGCCTGGCAGTCCAGACCTAATTTAGTTTTGTTCATCTTGCCCATGTAGAATCTACCGTTGCCTCTGACACAGTCATCTACAATAATACATGCTTAAGAAACAGCACTTTCTAATCGCAGACAGATGTAATTCAAATTTGTATTACGTGTAACTAGATCTTCGTTCATATCGGTCAATTGAATATGAGAACAGGTCATTTTTCCTTTAACTACTTTTGGCAGTGTTTCACATTCTGGCAGTGTAAAATGACCTCTTGATCGTATGTAGATATCCCTTTGCTTGTTGTCCTCAATCATTGCCCAGTCGTTAAAACAAAATTGATGGCGCACTGCCATACAGTCTTCGTAACATAATGGTAGGCCAACTGAGTTATGGCATTGTGGAAAGGCATACATGCACAGCATTTTCTAAAATTATTAAACATCCTCTCTATACTTATCTTATTTTATTATCGTCATCATTTCAAAATGTGGATAGTTTACCTCTGCAGCTGAGCGACATGGTTCAACAAGCCTTTTTATCAATTCCTCCCATAAGTTAGCAGTGATTTGCTCATTTAACCATCCTGCAGGATTGTCGTTAGATTCATTGAACCATACATTTCCAATTCCAGTTAAATAGTTCTTACAGATCTTTCCATTGTATGGTGCACAATAACCTTGCGATTCAGGTTCTACGACAGACAAACAAACATACAAATTTTCAATGCTGTTAAATGGTTCTTACATGCATAGAATACATACTTGTTTGTGCAGAACTAAAGTGCAAAATAATTGCCACCAGAGAAACAATCCAGAACATCATTATTTACAATTACAACTTGAAACAGCGTCGAGAAAAAATATTACATGTTTAAAAAGAGAATTCGTCTACATGAGAGACGCGCAATGATCAGTGACTCGTTTAATTAATACTAAACCGCATCAAATCCATTGTGTATATCAAGTATTTTTTCATACACAACCGATTCTGATACTCCATTCTACGCGTTTAGTTAAAATTTTTACGCGTTCACTCGCGCAACACGACGACCGCCGGATGAATATTACAATTATCGATTGTAATTTTTTAAAACTGTTTTCAATGGGGACAGTATAATTTAACAAAAATAAAGTTAAATGACCCGAGCTACGGTATTAGCCACATAAATTCGGTGCGGCGACCGTAAATTAACTGTCCGGATATACTTGTTTCTCTCTATCATGTGTTTAATTTACTAAATGGAGCCAATTTTCCCCTTTATTTACAACATTCGTGCGGCGAATAAATGGTAAATTTGTTCGTTTTGTAACAAATCCAAGTAGTTGCTAATCTAACAGAAATTTGGAACTAGAACAGTGGACGCGTTCGATAGTCGAGGAATCGTTTCGCTTTTCTAACAAAAATTTCAACAATATTGGCAATATATCAAACACTTTTAACGGCAAATAATCATTGCTAGATCAATGAAATGAATAAAAATTAACGAACAATCGTATATTGTTTTACATAGAAATTCTCTCTAACGGAAATAGCTGGAACAATTTCTTGTAGGAAATTTCACCCGTGGTGTTGGAACGCCGGTTTCACGAAGAAAATGCGCGGGAACAAGACACGTTTTGTTCAACAGTCTTCGAAAGTTCGTTACGAGAAGTTGGACATTCGAGGAGCATGCAGGCCTTTTTGAAAACCGGAAAATTAGGGCCCTCGGAACCAAAGAAACCTTCCACTTCGCGTGCAAAGGACGAGCGCAGCGGTCCTCTACCAGTATGGGTTGAGAAATAGTAAGGATACACCGCGTGTAACCTAGATTACCTAACGTCTCGAATTCTAAGATTTTTTTTATCTCAACAGCCGTCCAAGGACTGTGGAAGATGTCGTCGAGCAAGGAGAAGTCGTCGAAGTATTACGACAGTGTTTAAAGGGTGGCGATTTTCCAAATTTATTATTCTACGGTCCACCTGGAACTGGTAAAACGAGTACCATCCTAGCTGCTGCTAGACAATTATTTGGCAGCCTTTACAAGCAAAGAATATTGGAATTGAATGCTTCAGACGAAAGAGGAATTCAAGTTGTGAGGGAGAAAATTAAATCTTTCGCACAACTCACAGCAGGTGGAATGAGAAATGAGTACGTTAATTTGCATTGATCTTTGTAATGTTACTTAAATAGCCAATGATGTTACAGTAAAAGGTCTGAGAATTATGATAGAACTACATATACAAGCCCCTTAAGGGATTGTTGTAATCAGGAGCTATAGTGAAGTATACTATTTGTTCTTATTGCCAACTAAACAGCAACATGCTTTAAGCAGATTTCGTCCAGAAGCATTGTAAAGTTTCAAACTTTTGGTTTTGCATTAGAAGCAGACAAATGTACTTTTGTGAGTCTTGTATGTGGTTCTCGTAATTTCTATGATAAAGGCACAACCTGAGGCTTACTACAAATAATGATTTTAAATTATGGAATAGATAATATATTTTTTGATAGAAATATTTGTTTTTAGTGGAAAAAGTTGTCCACCTTTCAAGATTATTATCTTGGATGAAGCAGACAGTATGACCAGTGCAGCACAGGCTGCGCTTCGTCGTACGATGGAAAAAGAATCTCACAGTACTAGATTTTGCTTAATTTGTAATTACGTATCAAGGATCATTGAACCCTTAACGTCTCGTTGTACAAAATTCAGATTCAAGCCATTAGGAGAGGAAAAAATTATTGAGAGATTAGAATATATATGTAAGGAGGAAAGTTTGAAGGCGGAGAAGCCAGTCTTACTAAAAATCGTAGAAGCTTCGGGCGGAGATTTGAGACGCGCTATAACGTGTTTGCAGTCTATCACTAGGTTGAAAGGCAAAGGAATCGAGATTACTGTCGACGATGTGGTTGAGATCATTGGGGTATATAAAATTTTCTCTTTAGATATCAAATCGTGATAATATCAGATTATGGCATATGTGGATAATTGTAGATTGTCCCTGAAAATTGGTTGGATAAATTGATAGAAGTATGCCAGTCAAAAGATTATAGTAAAGCAGAGGCGTTTGTTGACGAGTTTATGTTAGAAGCATATGCGACATCCCAAGTAAATTTCATAAATAGATGATCACTTATCGAAAAATGATCAAACACATATATTACATTTTTAATAATTCTCACAGGTCATTGAGCAACTAAGTGAAAAAATTATAAATACGACAGAGTTCACAGATAAGCAGAAAGCATTGATTGGTGAAAAACTTGGGGTAAGAAAGCATGCAATCAGTTTTCTGCAACATGACATTGATGACAACACGCGAACGTTATTTCTCATTTTATTTATAGGAGTGTAACTACAGATTGCTAGATGGTGGAAGCGAGTATATACAACTTATAAATATCTGTTGCGGTATTATAAAAGCTTACGAATTAGCATAGGTGTTAAGTGTTTTTTATATCAAATAAATATTTATTATTTTTTAATTGCTATTCCATTACATTCTTCTCTTTCAAATCAATAGGCTGAAATTAATCTCGAAGTGAGGAAACGTTAAGGATGCTGCTGTCCCTACACTTGTGTATGTGTATCTTCTCCATTTCCCTACACAAGAATTTACACTAGATGTCCCTAAACAGAAATATCAAGCTTTGCGAGAGTACACACTCAATGCGAATCTGTTACAACTGTTATTAGAATAACGTTCGAATCGTTTCACCGATTTGCTATTGAAACAAAGAAATCTGATGCGACCCGAAAGAAAGTTTCCCAAGATCGGCGAGACGCAGCATCGTCGCGCACTCTTCTCGGCTGTATGCTATGATTTGAGAGCCACTGCAATCGGCGTGTAGGGGCGTCGTTGCTGCGTGCAATGTGTATCGTGTAGGCGTTGGCGAGGAAGAGACAAGTCGGGGATGTGTCCGTAAAAAACTTGCGGTTTCTGCGTACTCTGCCGCACGTGCACACCTCGAAATCGTGTTACGCGAACGATCGGGCTCCGGAGCGAATGTACCGCGCGACCATATCGCTTCGAATCGCCTCGCGAGACGGCCCCAACAATTACGGGGCGAGGAAAAAAAAGTGCAGCCAGTGCTCCGTATATTCTTTCGTTTCTTCCAGAGGCCACGTATCGGTGGCGTGTGTACACATCGCGTTGCTCCTTGTCATAGAACTTTCGGACGCGTACAGAGTTCGGTCGGTTTCGGAGTAAGATCGACGACTTGGTTCTGTGAACCGACGAACGACGTTTCGCAGATCGACGCCCGTACCAGGATGCAAGGACGTCTCCGAAGGGCCATCGTCAGTGTTACTCGCACGAGTTAATTTCGACTTGATTTACCAGTGTGCCGGACCGAGGCACAGCCTCGAGAGACGTACAGATATCAATTTGGAAGAAGAAAATACAAGAAGGCAGGAGAAGAAGCAAGCAGAGATCCGCGAGAGAGTGAGAGAGAAAGGAAAGAAACCGACGGAGGAGCGTGTGTACGGGAGATGTTCGAAATCTTGAGACGAAATCCTGGTGCGGGAGGATTCGGTTATCAGCGGCCACGATCGAACGTATTATCGCACGCCGGATTATTCGGCGTATGAGGCGACACACACACGCGCCGGTGTCTTTCTCTCTCCGTGTCCCTAGGTTCGTGTGAACTAGCGGCAAACTGTGCGTGTGTGCGTGTTTTTCCCGGCGAGGAAATCTCGACTCGCGACGGCTGCGGTGGCGGTGGTGCTGTGTCCACTGGCATGAGATTTTTATTATTACATCGTCGGCACACGCTCCCGTGGAACTGCTCAACGTAGCGGAGTACGCATCGTGTGATTTGTTTGTGCACGAGTCGCACACCAATATTGGACGTTGGAAACGAAACTGCACGATCTTAACGACGTGACAAAGGATATTACAGAAATTTTTTTCCAACGATAGTTCGTTCGTTTCTCTGTTCGTCCCTTAGGCTGTCTGTCTAATGATAGCGGGCGTTATCGCGTCACGTTTGACAACGCGACTCGATTTATCCGCGTAACACTATTCCCTCGCGGATATCGTAAATACGTCGGATTGTCTCGTGCGTGGTAACTTAGTGGTGCTGTGGGAAACGTGGAAAAGACGTCGCGAGGGTGGATGACACACGCGGGACGAGTATCGGCCGGCCAAGGGAACGAATTCGCGGATTCGTCGCCGGTGAATCATTTTGTACGTATAAGCTTCTTGGAATATAACAGGCGGCATGGGAAATATCGTAGAGAAAGTATTATTCGTTTGATGCTTGCATATTTATGACATAAATGAAATCCATAAAAATAAGAGTAGATTAAAGATAGTCCCAGATAGAATATAGATTAAAAGCGTTTGGTCTGGTTCGACTGCCGAACGGAATTGTCACTGGAACAAGTGCTTAACGGGATCGTGTTTTCTGCCCGTAAACTTCACGTAAAAATAGCGTTGACGAGCGTGGTCGGAATAGTATGCCGTTGTATCAGAGTTATCGGATTTTTCACTCATGATTTATGCAATGAATCGTAGTAAACAAATGTATTTCTCTTCTTTTGTACCTTGTATGGTTCAAATTCATAGCTATTATTACATTACTCAAAATTCTTATCGCCTGTACGAATCATTGATCGATAGCATTATTGACAGAGCTGGTACTAATCTGACGATATGGATATAAATTACGATAGAGGACAGGCGTGTTTATTCCAGCGGGATATTATCACGAGCTTTACATATTTACTTTAGCCGAAGCAAATATCAATAGGCTCGAATGGTAGGATCGACGGAATGTGATACGACATACATCGATCAAGGATCAGAGCTGTTGACGAGAAACGAATGACGCCGCGAAGTCAGACGGACTCGCGGTTGTCGTAGAAACGGGCATTGTCTCCCAGTCTCTGGGCTAGAACTATCGGCTTTTGAGCAAAAATTCTTGTTACACGGAGTCGTCAGGATCGCACTTGTTACTCCAGTGCAATGGCATTTCTTGAGAGTAGGCGGTGGGTTTGTTTTTGTTTTGAAAGGTACGACACTCGATGCCGTGCGCGTCCGCATGCCTGCCAATGTATAATATAATGCACATAATTTGCATTTAATCCTGGCACGATTCATGACCTACCAAAAAAATTTTTTTGAATCATTAACACAAAGCTGTTTTGGATTCATACAATCATGGGAGTAATTGTTCCTCTTTCTATAAGCAGCTACCGATGCTAGTTGCAGCAATACGGAGCTATAATTTATGTAATTACTATAATATTAAATGATTTCATGAAGATGTCGATCATACGCGCTGCTAGAATAATTTTAATTAATCCTTTGCGGATTACGGACGCGTTATAATTATGGACTGGGGCGAAGAACCACCAGGAATATTTTCCTGGAAATTAAAATCTGTTCTAGTTACGCCTGTAAGAATAAAACAAAGGATGATCAAAACGCCAAGGGAAATTCAACACGAGCGTCGACTACCTCCGACTAAATATTCCAACTTTTACAGCTTGAATTTAAAGTTGTTTCAAAATTTACTTGGTTTCCGTTGAACGTGAGACATGTTAAGAATTAATATGGCACGCAAGCTGTAACTACGCGAAAACTCATAATGAGAGCTTACAAAGCGAGCGTCGTATCGTACGAGCTTCCACGCGCTCCAGGACACGTTTCCCGGAGTCTTGCCCTCGCTGACACCCTCGGTGCCCGTTTGTATCCGGTTAGATAAGGGGCGAAGTTGCCTTGTTCCACAGAGCAGCGCACAGATATTATACGTACGTATATACCAGCTTCCAGGCGCTCCTTCTGCCTGGAACACCGATAAACTCCTTCGCCTAATTGCTCGGGACGAAAGTTAGCAAACGATTAGTTTCCTGACATTTTCTCGTCGTTCCGCGCGGAGCGATGTGTAAAAATTGTGCTGAAAGCCGAGCGCGTGGTCGGAAATGTAGTAAAAAAGAGTTTTCGCTGTCGCTAGATTCATTGGTCACGGTAGCATAACAGGATAATCTTTCAACACAACCACCGGTGGCGACGTTGATAAACCGCAGGCTTGCCCGGTTGGAGCACCGCTACGATCCGATAGAGCTTGTTACTGTTTCCCCGAATAATGTAATGCAACAAGTTACATACTTTAATTCCCGGCGATAGTGTGCAGACACTTTGTAAAGAGTTTCATATCGAACAAGCTGGATTTCGTTGCTGGTTGTGGTGGTCGCGTGACGGTGAAATAAGAAAATGCAGTAGTACATCGAGCAATAATAACGCAGGTAGCAAATAAGTGTACCGTAGATCGTCGACCGGGATCACTGGACCGATGAGAAATTTCCTTCGGTCGGTTCCGACCGCGAGGTCGGACCCAGTGCTCCAAATCGGTAGCTCGGCGATGGGTGGGCAAAGTGAAAAGTATCCGACGATCGTTTCACGGAATAACCGTCCATTTAATTCGTAATCGAACGATCCGCGGCCGCTTTAACAATGCTTTTGAATCGAATCGTCGGTGTCCCCCTTTCGAGCCTCTGAATAGATCCCCTGAGCGTTTCCAGAGGCGATCGGAACGGTGGCTGCTCGTGATTGTTCACCGCGGAAATGACGTTGTCACGTGTCACCTGTCCGATCGTTATATCGGCCGGCTAATTGAGCCGGCCGGAGTTATTTAAACCGACCGCATCGACTAGCCGCGTTCGATTTAATTAAACGCGGATCGACGCGTCTTTCAGTGATGAAAGGGTCCATTTGGTCACTGATCTAAGCGTCGACGCGCGGATTCTCCTCCTGGAACGTACCAGGTAGTCGCATTCTTTCTTTCTAAATTCTTACGGGAGCCCAGTTCGCAGTATTACCAATCATTAGCGATTTAAGTATTTATTCATAAAATCGTATAATCTCTTTTTTAATTCTTTCAATTTAATCATAAAAAATTAGTAAACGCATTAATAAAAAAAGAGAACGCTGGTACGAACAGGTTTCAATTTGCGATAGATAAATCCGAATAACCGTGAGATAGAGTCGGATCTTTCGTAAAGACGTTCGCCAGGAATCGGCGAGCACGACTCCTTTTATCCTTCACTGGAGCGTTTTGTTCCGCCGTACTCCGGAAACGGGGCCGTAGGTAGTAAGCGATTTTCATCGCGAATCAAGAGATAATCGTAGAGGAACTGTATCTATCCGAAAATTGCTTAACGAGAATAATCGAGGGACGTATCGAACCCGGTCGATTAAGCATCGGGTACTACGCATAGATAACTTCTGTCGGGGTAATCGCTGATTCTTTTATCGATTCGTCGGTTGATTGGAGTCGTTGAGTCACCGAGCAATTCTCGGGATATGGTATTAACGCTTAAAACACTTTTTCCAACTAGGACTAATCTCTCGATAAGCATCGCAGGATCTTTTGTTAAATAAATAGCAGGAGAAAAACCGAGCCACTCGAGTACGTGAAAGTATGGATGTTTTACCACGAGCTGCACCTAATCTCGTTAACCAAGGGACACTAATTCTTCCGTAATCTAAGAAATGCTGATGCCACGTGTCTGCCAGTATGTACTGCGCTAAACGAATTTTCTCTCGGCGATCAGACACATAGGTGGGGAGTTTGACCCATCGGATCTCGATCGAGGCATGGTCGAAGAAGAAGACGCGAGACCGGTGCGTGTCCAGCTGTTTGCCGGCTAGTAATGACTGGGTGTATAATTTACGAAAAGAGCAGAACACGGTCGGAGTGGAGAACCGTGGCCATTCACGTGAATAAAACCGTCACTGGTCCCGCGGGAGCAGGAGACAGGGAAGCGGGAAAGGAATTCCATAAATTCTTGAGGAGGCCCCTTTCGAAAGAATGGGACACGATTACCGTGCGCCGCCGTTCACCCGGGACAACGAGTCTCGTTATTGTTTCAAATCTCTACGCGCCAGTTTGCCAGTGGTAAAATTGTATTTTATGTAGCCACGGCTGCAACGAGGCCCCTCGTTTTCGGTATTCCGACAATTTCCACGAGCTACCAACTTCTCGGCACCCGGAAAACTTGGCTACGAATCAAATGCCTATATGTATTTGTGGCTACAATCTCAACGTTACTCGTATGTTTCCCGAGGATAATTTCGAAACTAATCAGAACCTCTTGTTTTTAATCAAGATATATTATAAATATTAAACATAGATGCATGTATAAGATTTTCAGAGACTCATGTTTCTTTGGATTTGGTGAAACATGCGGATGACAATGTCTTGATGAAGGACTTTGCGGGAGTCATGTAGAAGACAATAATTGTATTTTAATGGGGAGTTGATTTGAATTTCAGTGAGTTGTCCGTCGTTGGGCGATGACCCCATCGGAAAAGTTTCCGTCCTACCCCCTACTGTACTAACTACGGCTAGTTCAGTAGCATCCCCTCGTCTCGTTGAAACTCGTCCGAGAGATCGTTATCGTCGAATCTTCTCCACGCGGCTCGGGGAACCACCCCGAGGAATTGAAAGTGTCCCAAGAGACACGGATGTATCCTGAACGAGTCCGTGTCGCGATCTTTCCAACAACTTTACTGGCCGGCCGGAAATTTGTCAGGATTTCTCCGTAACAAGAAATTCTAACGAACTGAAAATTCCAAGACTCAAAATCTTTTAGAAGAAAAATGTCGACTCATCGAATGTGTCACGGATTTCATCAAAGAGGCAGTAGCGCAGACGCAACCAGAAAAAGAACACAAGTACGCGCGGTGCATGAGGACGCCTTTTGGTTGGACCATTTTCTTTCTCTATCATTGTTATCGTCGCTGCTGCGCCACTTTCCCGAGCGTACCGCAATTTTACGATAAATCTAGTTGTTCAGCTGCAAGTTTCTCCGTTCCATTCGTTCGAAAGTGGTTCAGTTTTCGAGGGCACCTTGTACACGGGGCCCTGGAATTATAGACCGACAGCCTGGAAAATCAGTTTTTCCGAGCGCAGCCGTGAGGAGCCTCGGTTTATTGCATTGCTACGCGGCCGCCGAGGTCCCCAGAGCGTACAACAAACTTGTTTTTGCCCTTAGTTCCCCAGATCCCAGCCTTGTGTTCTTCGTTACCGTCGGACGTACCTACCGACGACTTCCACTGCAGTCATACTGCGAACGACCCGTTGTAAAACGAAAAACCACGTGAAACATTTTTAGGTGCCTACCTAGTTTCTTTATCACACCGCGATACGTCCCAGCTCGTCTTTTTTTCGTTAAGCTACA